ACTTCTTTGGTTAAATTTATTCCTAGGTATTCTATTTTATTTGTAGCTTTTGTAAATGGGATTACTTTCTTGATTTCTTTTTCAGATTGTTTACTGTTGACATATAGAAATGCTACAGATTTTTGTATGTTAATTTTGTATCTTTCAACTTTACTGAATTTGTTTATCAGTTCTAATAGTTTTTGTGTAAAGTCTTTAGGTTTCTCTAGATATAAGATCATATCAAAAACAAAAAAAAAAGAAAAAAAAAGATCATATCATCTGCGAACAAAAATAACTTGACTTCTTCTTTTCCAATTTAGATGCCCTTTATTTATTTCACTTGTCCAGTACTATGTTGAATAACAGTGGTGAAAGTGGGCATCCTTGTCTTGCTCCAGATCTCAGAGGAAAAGCTTTCAGTTTTCCCCATTCAGTATGATACTGGCTGTGAGTCTATCATAGGTGGTTTTTATCATGTTGAGGTAATTTCCTTCTATATCCAGTTTTTTGAGAATTTCTATCATGCAAGGATGTTGAATTTTATCAAACGTGTTTTCAGCATCAATTGAAATGATATTATCTTTCTGTCCTTCATTCTGTTGATATGATGTATCACATTGATTGATTCACATATGTTGAAACATCCTGCCAAGACAATTTTTAATATAAAAATAACAAAGGGATTTTACTACAAGATATCAAGTCATACTATAAGGCTACAATATTTAAATAAGTGCGGTGTCAATTTGGAACTTGGCAAGCAAATCAGTAGAGTTTAGGAACTAACCTATTCATATGTGGGAATTTGGTTTATGATAGACATGGATTTCAGATAGCCAAATAAATAGGAAAAGATTGACTCCTCAGTAAATGAGGTTGAGACAATTGGCTATCCATCTGGAAAGAGGTAAATGACTACCTCATACTACACACAAAAAACAAATTTCAGAAAGGATGGATTAAATCATTATATGTATAAAACCCAACTAAAAATGTATTAGAGTAAAATGTAAGAGGATATGTTTTTGGCTTTGGGGTAAGGAATCTCTCTCTAGAAAGGACCAAAAATAAATAAATAAAACCCTAAACAACAAAAACCATAAACAATAAGCATCCTTATATTGCATCTCAGAATTAGGCAGATTTACTGTAGTGGATGCTGCCACCCCTTTACTAACCAGTGCACCCATCCTCCAGCTCCTGAGAGTGCTGCTAACAGCAACCATTTCCATAGAACTGCCCTTCTCTGTAGAATTGCCTTCAGTAATTTCCTCGTTTTCTACTGATGCAGTAACTTGCTACAATCATTTGAAGGCACTAAGAGTAATAAACATATTTATTATCTTACAGTTCTGTAGGCCAGAAGTCCAACATGGGTCTCACTGGGCTAAAATTAAGGCAGAGGATGCAGCAAAAACACACCATCTTGGAAGCAAAAATCGAGGCCTTGCCAGACAACAAACCCGACAGCGCCTTGACCTTGGGCTTCTCAGCCTCCAGATATGTGAGAAATAAATTTATACTGTTTATAAATTACCCAGTCTGTGATGTGATAGCACCACAAATGGACTAAGACACCAGGTTATTGTTACCATTGTGTTTTCCATAGGAAAAATAAACATCTCATATCTTTATGACAGGAGGCAGTTTTGTAACTTGGAGCAAGCTGCTCACCAAATTTAGACTCCTACCCTCCTACAGACTGGGAAATAGAGGTGCTTTCTCCCTTTATGTTTACATTTCAAAGAGATGGTTCCCAGTTCCATTCCAGAAAAGACATTCCTGGGTCATAAGTTGACAAAAAGCCTATTTAGTCTTCAAAAAGATTTATGTACATTTCAAAGAGAGGAGAAAGTACTGACAAGTTTTCTAATGTAAATGTTCTGAGAAAAAGGAGGAGAGGGAAATCTCATACCTTATTTTCAACAGGGAGAATTAAACCTCTTATTTTTAATTTGTATCTGTTTTTACAATCTCCTCCCTATGGTACTATAAAATAATAACATTTAAAAACCTTTAGTTATCTCCATTGCTTTTTTCATTTCTCTGAGGAGTTGTAGCCATCTAAATCCAGCAAATCCATGCTAAAATACAAAGCAAAGCAATTATCAGAAGTATGATAGAATAATAGCATTATTGAATTTTTTAAAAGTCAGTACTTTATCTGCCTTGGTGAAATAAACTTTGAATATATCATACCAATGATGAACAGTTAAATCAGATTCTTGATTAGCAAATAAAAATTTTAAAATCATACATTAATTTTACAAATTGTTATTCTACCACATTGGGGGGTTTGATCTTCATTCTGAAGGCTCTGGTGTATACACATTGAATAAATTTGTATGCCTTTTCTCCTATTAAAAAAAATGAATTATTATGAAGTCTTTATTGCTTGCATTTTCAAACTATGGAGTATTATTTTGTAATTGCTTATTCACTCTTGCCCTATCTAAGCCTATCAAGTAACTTAACACAGGAGGCTGCTAATTTCAAATTTTTTTTTTTTTTTTTTTTTTTTTTTTTTTTTTAGTCAGAATTTGACATGGGTATTATATTAAATTTTTTTGTGTGTGTCACATGCCTGGCTAATTTTTAGTTACCCAATTAATTTCTTTCTATTTTTAGTAGAGACGGGTCTCCCTCTTGCTCAGCCTAGTTTTGAACTCCTGACCTTGAGTGACCCGCCTGCTGTGGCCTCCCAGAATGCTAGGATTACAGGTGTGAGCCATGGTGCCCTGCCTTCAAATTTTAATTAAGAGTTTTTCTTTCATGTTATAATGAATTTATCCTGAGTTTCCATCAATTACATAAGTAAAATCACATTTACATGGTAATTTAGGCCCTTTAGTAATTGTTCCATCTTCCTAAATAATTTTGTTTTAAGATGAGAAATAGAGGCCAGACACGGTGGCTCATATCTGTAATCCTAGCACTCTGGGAGGCCAAGGCAGGAGGATTGCTTGTGCTCAGGCACTGGAGACCAGACTGAGCAAGAGTGAGACCCTGTCTCTACTAAAAATAGAAAAATTAGCTGAGCGTGGTGGAATGCCTGTAGTCCCAGCTATTCAGGAGGCTGAGGCAGGAGGATGGCTTGAGCCCAGGAGTTTGAGGTTGCAATGAGCTAAAATGATACCACTACACTCTACCCAGGGTGACAGAGGGAGACTCTGTTGAAAAAAAAAAAAGAGATGAGTAATAGAAAGACACCTATACCCATCATCTAGTTAAAAGTCTTATTATGAGGCACTTATTGAGGCACAGATTGAACTTCCACTGTTTAATATGCATGGCTCTAGTGTTTTAAGTCTTGAGGAAAAGAACATCCTATAGGCCATTTTTTCCATTGGTCTAAATAAATAGTGATATTATTATAACAGTCAACTAAATCTCCATAAATAACAGTCATCCACCTTTGTTTATCAATCCATACTGGAGACAACTTGCCTCCCAATGTTAGTAGTAACATTAGACCTGTCTTCTGTTGTTTCTATCTGTAGGTGCCAGATTTCTGTTCATTTGTTAATTAGATATTTTTCTTTTCTATGTCATCCTTCCAATCAAATCAGTTAACAAAACATTTTTGTGTTAAATTTAGAACTTGACTACCTGGATGCATACTAATTACTTTTACTATGTTATTATAAAAAATGACTAATGAAGATGATGTCATTGGCACTTTGCCAGTAATCCAGAGCATACCTATACCAGGAGCACAATTTAGAGCTGATTAGACATATGTGGTTGTGGGAACCATTACTGGGAGTGAAGAAAGAAAAAGTAATGCAACAATGTTTGCTTTCTAATAAATGTAATTCTTAAAGTAATTAAAATAACCACTGCCAGAGCAGTACTATGAGAACAGCGATCGGTTTTCTACAATCTCTTTTCAGTTGAGTTCAGTACCAATATCTGATACCCTAAAAAAGTTCTTTGTGGGCCGGGCGAGGTGGCTCACGCCTGTAATCCTAGCTCTCTGGGAGGCCGAGGTGGGCGGATTGCTCAAGGTCAGGAGTTCGAAACCAGCCCTGAGCAAGAGCAAGACCCCGTCTCTACTATAAATAGAAAGAAATTAATTGGCCAACTAATATATATACAAAAAATTAGCCGGGCATGGTGGCGAATGCCTGTAGTCCCAGCTACTTGGGAGGTTGAGGCAGGAGGATTGCTTGAGCCCAGGAGTTTGAGGTTGCTGTGAGCTAGGCTGACGCCATGGCACTCACTCTAGCCTGGGCAATAAAGCGAGACTCTGTCTCAAAAAAAAAAAAAAAAAAAGTTCTTTGTGGGAACTTTTGAAAAGAAGTCACCTATTTAGTAAGTGTGGCAGACTTTTTCAGGTGGGTCCTTATGACTCTAAGTCTCAGGATTTCTAGGGAAAAGAAAAGCCCTTTTAAATATTGAAAATAAGTATAAGAGGAGTCCATTAAATTGGGCACAGAATATAGTCTCGGACCCAAATTCATAGGCCTGCCAAGCTTAAGTTTAAAGGGAAAGATAACCGTGCTTGCTTGCAAGGCTTGCTCTAATTTTTAATAAGGCTAGTGGTAAAGCTCTAGGCCATTTTAACTTGGTAGATTGCTAAATCTTAGTCAAGTAGTTTTTTTAGAGTTTGATTCATTTTCTCTACTTGTCCAGAGGACTGAGGATTATAGACATCTGCAAACATTTGGCAGAATTCCTGGGCGATGGTAGAAATAAAATGGTTTCCTGTGTCCTAGTCAACGTGCTCTGGTATCCCAAAAGTGGGAATTATATGTATTAAGAGAGCCTTTACCACTGTGTGAACATTAGCTCTTTTTATTTGATTTGATTGTTATAAGAACACTTAAAAAGAGAGCTACCCTCTTAACAAATTTTTCGGTGCACAGCACAATATTTAGGACTATAAGTACCAATGTTGTACAGCAGAGCTCTAGAGCTTATTTATCTTGCTTAACTGAACATCAGCCTTTCGAAGAGGGAAAGATTTTTAAGCCATCCATACATCATACATATCATAAGTAGGCAAAATCTCTTACCTTTTATAAGCATTAGTTCTTTGAAATTCAACTGCCACCAGATTCCTGGTAAAGCTGGTCAAAAGGGACTTCCTGTGTTTTACTTTAGGAGTGCCTGCAAAGAAAAGGCACATCAATAGCACACATTCTATAGATGTGCTGACAAGTAGCACATCTCTTTAATATGTTATGAATAATTTCATCTTTTTGGTAGGCCTAGTAAGAGGCCTAGTGCCTTTAAAATTTCTCTTTTGGGCTGGACATGGTGGCTCATGTCTGTAATCCTAGCACTCCGGGAGGCAGAGGCAGGAGGATCGTTTGAGCTCAGGAGTTCCAGACCAGCCTAAGCAAGAGTGAGACCCCAGCGAGACCCCATCTCTAATAAAAAAAATAGAAAGAAATTAGATGGACAACAACTATATATATATATATATATTAGCCAGGCATGGTGGCACGTGCCTATAGTCCCAGCTACTCAGGAGGCTGAGGCAGGAGGATCGCTTGAGCCCAGGAGTTTGAGGTTGCTGTGAGCTGGCTCCCCACACCCATGGCACTCCTGCCTGGGTGACAGAGTAAGACTCTATCTCAAAAAAAAAAAAAGAATATCATAAGGAAGAGAAAATATATTTATTATTTATTAAGTGGAAGTGGATCATTATAAAAAGCCTGCCTGCCTGCCTGCCTTCCTTCCTTCCTTCCTTCCTCTTATTCCCTCCCTCATGTCCTTTCTTGCCCCTTTCTTCCTTCCTTTCTCACTTCCTTTCCAGCCTCCCTTCCTTCCTTCTCCTCCCCTCTCCTCCACGTTTCCCTTCTCTTCTACCTCCTTTTCTTTCTATAAAAATAAAAAAAGAAAAAAATAATAAAAATATGGCCATGCGCGGTGGCTCACGCCTGTAATCCTAGCTCTCTGGGAGGCCGAGGCGGGCAGATTGCTCAAGGTCAGGAGTTCGAAACCAGCCTGAGCAAGAGCGAGACCCTGTCTCTACTATAAATAGAAAGAAAATTAATTGCCAACTAAATAATATAGAAAAATTAGCTAGGCATGGTGGTGCATGCCTGTAGTCCCAGCTACTTGGGAGGCTGAGGCAGGAGGATTGCTTGAGCTCAGGAGTTTGAGGTTGTTGTGAGCTAGGCTAACACCACGGCAATCACTCTAGCCTGGGCAACAAAGCGAGACTCTGTCTCAAAAAAAAAAAAAGAAAATAATAATAAAAATAAAAAGTCTCCATCATCCTCAGCATCTTCATGTTAAGTAGGCTGAGGAGGAGAAAGGGGAGGGGTTGGTCTTGCTGTATCAGGGGTGGCAGAGGCAGAAGATGTGGAGGAGTTACAAAGGGATGCAGGAGAGGCAGGCACACTCTGTATAATTTTATGGAAATACAGTATATCATAATTTTTGTCTGACTTTTCTGCTTTTTCATTTCTCTAAAAATGTTTCTACATGGTACCAATCCCTCTTCTCCCATTTGCTTTCATTTAAGTGCCTGTATCATATTAATACAACATAATGTGGTTAGATATGGGTATGTTTGCTATTCAGGTGATCTACTGGGGCATCTCTTGGTACTCGTTATGTCCAGTTTTAACTATGAATGGGCAAATACAGCAACTACAGACCTGATAAGGGCATGGAAACTGGAACTCAGACCCACAGAGATGAGGGTCACCCCACCAGGCAAGCCATCTAGACCAGGAGAAGAGCTAAACAAATGCGTGAATTCTAGAATGAGTGATGGAGGAAGGAAAGAAGAATATCAATTACAGCCTCAGGACTCATAGGAGCAGTCAAGGCTGTGGTTTTTTGTTTGTTTGTTTTGTTTTTTTGAGACAGAGTCTCACTTGTTGCCCAGGCTAGAGTGAGTGCCATGGTGTCAGCCTAGCTCATAGCAACCTCAAACTCCTGGGCTCAAGCAATCCTCCTGCCTCAGCCTCCCAAATAGCTGGACTTACAGCATGTGCCACATGCCTCGCTAATTTTTCTATATATATAGTTGGCCAATTAATTTCTTTCTATTTATAGTAGAGACGGGGGTCTCACTCTTGCTCAGGCTGGTTTCGAACTCCTGACCTTGAGCAATCTGCCTGCCTTGGCCTCCCAGAGTGCTAGGATTACAGGCGTGAGCCACCGTACCCGGCCAAGGCTGTGGTTTGTTTAACTAAATCTCCTCTTACAAGTATTCCAAAGGAATTCTGACCAACCAGAATCCTGGAAAAGCTAGGCCCAAATAAAATGAACTTAATATGGAGTAGCAAGTGGATCTGATTGGTGCAAGGGGATGAACTATAGTAGACACTGTTGGTGCCTCACATTGATCCCCTTCTTTAACTGGTGAATCTGCCTCCCAGCTAACAGTTTGCACCTTCAAACTTCTCCAAATAATTACTTTTGCCTAAGGGGAGGCAACTGGGAACTTCAAACACCTTCCACCCCTGCCCCACACCACCAGGAGTGACGAATGACTGACTGATGATGGACCTAGCTTCCTTGCCTCCTAACAGAAGAACTCCTCAAGGCCCCCATGCCACATGAAACAACTCCTGACACATGGAAGAGGCCACAACCACACCCATACCCCTCCCCTATCTTGCTACTCTTAATTTTTTTTACAGGTTTTTCCTAAAGAGCCTCCCTCAATAAATCATATGCACCCAAATATCTACCTCAGGCTCTGCTTCTAGGCCTTTCCTACAAAGACAGAGCCTTTTTCATTAAGCTTACTCCATGGCAGAGAGCAGACCAGAGCACATGCTCTCTGCAGGCAGGAAGGCCCCAAAGAAAGGACATAAGTCACATATGTCAAATTCTTAGTCCCAAATTGCAATTTAGCATGTCACTTCTCCCATGGGGGGCAGTGAGGGGCATGGAGAAACCTGGAGTGTTACTTGACTAGATGTCCTTTCGCCTGAAAACTGGGGGAATTAGGAATAAGTAATCCCCTTTGTCTTGGGCTAGTTCCCCAGAAGCAGACCCTGAGATGAGGATTCATGTACATGCAATTAATTTAAGGAAGTGCTTCCAGGGGAACTCAATAAAGGAATGGAGGAAGCAGAACAGGAAAGGGGAAGAAGCTAAGCAAGTATGTAATTTCAGGCAACTTTCATACTTTCACCCCAGTCAGTTATTGGGTAAAGCCTGTCCAAAGGTCTACGTGGTGGCTCACGCCTGTAATCCTAGCACTCTGGGAGGCCAAGGCAGGCGGATTGCTCGAGGTCAGGTGTTCAAAACCAGCCTGTCTCTACTATAAATAGAAAGAAATTAATTGGCCAACTAATACATATAGAAAAAATTAGCCTGGAGGCTGAAGCAGGAGGATTGCTTGAGCCCAGGAGTTTGAGGTTGCTATTAGCTAGGCTAACGCCATGGCACTCTCTAGCCCGGGCAACAGAGCCAGACTTTGTCAAAAAAAAAAAAAAAAAAAAGACTGTCCAGAATTTGCAAGCTGTGAGGGGAAAGTGTGTAACAGTGAATGTAAACTCACAGGCATTGTCACTCTCTGCATGTGCAAGCAAAGCAGCTCCTTTAACCCAAAAACAGGCTTCCAAGAGAGTCAGAAAAACAAAGATGCAAGCCTTTAGAAGGAAATATACACCAAAGCCAGCGAAGAGGGCTCAGAAATTGTTAAAAGTATCAGAGGGGATCTGGCAAGAATAACAGTAACCAGTACATACCCTAACATTCACCAGTAATTTTTTTTCAACAAATCTATTTATGTATATTTTATATAATATATAATTCACTCATTTCAAATATATTAATACAATTCACTGATTTTTAGTTAATTTACCCAGTTACATAACTATCACCGTAAATCAATTTTAGAATATTTTCAGAACCCCAATAAGATCCCATTCATTGTTCTGTTCTTTTTTTTTTTCTTTTTGAGACAGTGTCCCTTTGTTGCCTGGGCTACAGTGCCATGGCATCAGCCTCACAGCAACCTGAAACTCCTGGGCTCAAGCAATCCTCCTGCCTCAGCCTCCCAAGTAACTGGTACTACAGGCATGTGCCACCATGCCCAGCTAATTTTTTCTATGTATTTTTAGTAGGCCAGTTAATTTCCTTCTATTTTTTTAGTAGAGGCGGGGGTCTCGCTCTTGCTCTGGCTGGTTTTGACCTCCTGACCTTGAGCAATCCTCCCGTCTCAGCATCCTAGAGTGCTAGGATTACAGGTGTGAGCCACCTCGCCTGGCCACTTCATTCTTTTTTATGGTTGACTAATATCCCATTGTCTGGATGTACACATTTTGTTTATCCAGATACCAGTTGATGGACATTTGGGTTTTTTCCACTTTTTGGCTATGATGAATAATTCTGCTACAAAAATTCTTGTACATATGTGTGTACATAAGTTTTCATTCCCCTTGGGTATACAGCACGGGAAGGAATTGCTGGGTCATATAGTAAATTTATATTTAACTTTTCAAGAAACTATCAAACTATTTTTTTTTTGAGACAGAGTCTTGCTTTGTTGCCCAGGCTAGAGTGAGTCCCGTGGCATCAGCCTAGCTCACAGTAACCTCAAACTCCTGGGCTCAAGCAATCCTGCTGCCTCAGCCTCCCGAGTAGCTGGGACTACAGGCATGCACCACCATGTCCGGCTAATTTTTTCTATATCTATTAGTTGGCCAATTAATTTATTTCTATTTATAGTAGAGTCGGGGTTTCACTCTTGCTGAAGCTGCTTTCGAACTCCTGACCTTGAGCAATCCGCTCACCTTGGCCTCCAAGAGTGCTAGGATTACAGGCGTGAGCCACAGTGCCCGGCCTATCGAACTATTTTTTAAAGTGAATACACCATGTACATTTCCACCAGCAATTTAGGAAGGTTCTTGTTTCTCCAATTCTATTTATGTATATTTTACGTAAATGGTATCTCATTGTGATTTTAATTTGCATTTCCATAATGACTAATAGTATTGATCATATTTTCATGTTCACTAGCTATTTTTTTTTTAATTTTTTTTTTTTTTTTGAGACAGAGTCTCGCTTTGTTGCCCAGGCTAGAGTGAGTGCCGTGGCGTCAGCCTAGCTCACAGTAACCTCAAACTCCTGGGCTCAAGCGATCCTGCTGCCTCAGCCTCCCGAGTAGCTGGGACTACAGGCATGAGCCACCA